ATCGCACACTCGGGAGTTATTGTGCGAGGCTCTAGTAACATAACAGATATATAATCACAAAGAAAATGTAATCAGCTTGGACGTAATAGGTGAAAAACGTACAGAGCTCCACTCCAAGCAGCTTTTTTTGTCGATTACATTCTGGTATAGACCCACAAAGAACCGAGACGACCAAGACGCGCAGCACTAGCTTGTGAATTTTTTATTGTTGCAACTCGCACCAGTTACGAAAATCTGACGACCCGCGCATTTAGAATGTTCCAGGCAAAAATATGGATCGAAATCAGGCTGGAAAGCATCACAAGTTGTCACAGGCACTTATTTAGCCAGTTTGCCTGTGAACGTCGATTTCGTCACTATTCTTGCCCTGGACTAGCACCGTAATCACAAAGTCACTAAACGCTTGTGCTTGATTGAGAGACACTGCATTCGGTGCAGAACGTAGTTTTCTTCCTGCTCTGGACAGTGCCTTTAATATAAAGCCGGAGGAGAAAAAGAAAAAAAGCCCCATGGTCGAATAACGGATGGAGACTATATCTTGCAACCACATGCATAAAAACAAGAATTGTAACTTTGGCAATAACATTTATTTAACGTAATAGAGGCAAGTGCCGCGGGCGCCCGGCGTGCCCGGGCGCCCGCGGTGAGCGAGACGCGAACTGCCGCAGGACTGGTGTATGAAGAGATGAAGAGTTTCTTGGTTTGTTGTTGCCGTTGGCGTTGAGATGAAGAAAGAGCAGCTTTGGACACGTCTTAGGATGAGCAAAATGAGTCGTGACAATAGATTTGAGGGATGTATTTTCGCCCACAAAATTTTATTTAATTACAATTGTATTTGAAATACCCACGTTTTAGCATTTAAATACACACGTCAAATACATTACCCAATTTGTAATTAAATACAAATGCAAAATACACAAAGTATTTGAAATATGTATTTCAAATACTTGTATTTCAAATACTGCCCATCCCTGCAGCCCACCATAGCCAAGTCTAGCCAAGTTCCCCCCATACCCACACCGTTGCCTACCCAGATAGCTGTGCTGCCAGAACTAGCCGGTATTTCTTTTTCTAAGCCGCTAGACGGCGTCGTCGGCGCCGCAATTCTCAAGATGCCGGTGCCGTTAAAGAAAAGGTCTATACCGGATGTTCCCAGCCTTCCTTTCGGTGCCGCGGAGGGTGGCGCTGCACGTTTTGCAACTATTCGGGTGTCTGGCATGTCGTCCGGGGGTGGCGCTGAACGAGGAACGGAGCATGCGCAAATGTTTCGCTCTTCCCGAAACTAGTTCTTGCGCGTGAACGCTCGCTAGTGCGTTGAACGGTTTGAGAAAACGTTTTGCGGGAGAGCCACACTGCAGAAGTACAGCACAGCTAGGTTCAAAGGCAGACGCGATGCGGTCAATGAGACTGTACGGCGCGTTTAACGGCCGTAACTTAATTGGAATAGGTTAATTGTGTTAACTCGGAAAATGGTGATGATGCATTAATTTGCAAATAACTGAATCCCTCAGCGTAAGTTTGGATGCCGTACGCATGGGCGTACCAACCGGGGGGGCAAGGGGGGCACTTGCCCCCCCCAGTTCTCAGAGTGGGGGGGGCAAGGCATGCGTTTTGCCCCCCCTGAAACGGCCGCCACTGGGCAGAGCAGACACAGGCCGGCGGCGCCCAAGGAATACCAAGGGCACTGCCCCCCGACCCGCGCGGGCATATTTTTAACGCGCTGGGACTGGGAATTACCCTTCCCACCTTTTGGTGAGATGGAAGGCACCTTTGAGATAAGGACTGAATAAAGATAAGTTTTAAATACTCACTCGAAATAACACTGGTGTTTCTTTTAAATTTTAGAGTTGATGTTATCGGTTCCAGCGGACGAAGTAAGTTTTAGTTTATCAATCAATGCTATAATACCGGCGGAGTTAACGTTAATAGGATGCATGCGCTCGTAAAGCTCTTCAGGGAGAGTGGGGACGGAGTCCAAGCACTCGTTAGTAAACACTGATGAAAAATATTCGTTAAACACGGAACTATCATGGTCGACGTTGCACATCCGACATTCCTAACTCTCCCCATCTTCCTAAACGTCCGTGTGTGTCCGAACACCAGAAACCGGAATTTTAAAGGTTAAAAACGGCACGTTGCGAATATGGAACGCGCACTTTCATGCAAAGCTGACGTCAAGTGACTCAAATCGAAAAACATGCATATTTACAATATTGTTATCTCTTCTGGTGAAGGCTCAGCAACCGTTGCATCCGTTTTCGCGCACGAAACGGCGACTACCAGAGAAAGTAAGAACGCAGTGATTGCCTTTATTTTAACAATGCAAACACACTTGCAGGCGTGCGCTGATGAAGCCTCAAAATCAAAGCTCTCGTAGTGCGATTCGTGACTGTGCCGGCTACTACCCAACCTCGTTGTCACGCCACTTTCTGGAAGCATACACCAAAATTACAAGTAAACACACAAAAGAGACATCGATACAATTATCTTGTAGAATATCACCTTATTTAGTCATAACTCTTTCAATAGGCACTACAAGTTGTATTTATTTTAAGAAGCAAAATTTTTTTCGTGAGAAAAAACAAAATATCAATGTTAAGTCTGGTAACGTTGTAATTTTGCCGAATCATTGCCAAATCTTTAGAAAAGTTGGACAAAAGTTGTGCCGAATTTTCGATTTGGGGGGGGGGGGGGGGGGGGGGGGGGGGGAGAGGGTCTGGTTTGCCCCCCCACTCAAAAACAAGTTGGTACGCCACTGGCCGTACGCGACACTAATGACGTATTGCCTGCGAAATGGTTTATTTTACATCTTGAGATACTTTTGACGAGATCGTTCACGCGCATACTAAATGAAGGTTGCGCCAAACCAAGATGCATCCTTAGCTAACCCACGCTTTAGAAAACACTTTGGTGCTCCACGTGTTATGAACTGAAATTTGTTATCTATACGGTTCGTTGCGCAATATTCAACTGCAGAAAAATGCTTGAAATTTCCAAAGTCGGAGTCACACTGCTTATACATCATACAAAAGACAGTCTGCAGACTCGGATGCAAGTCACCGCGAGATCCGTGCTTCGAATGCCGCCGGGCAACGAGTTCAAGGAGAAACTTGGCACGCGGCATTTTAACCGAGATGACTGATGCCTGCAGACTGTCTTTTGTATGATGCATTCTATAAAGATAGTATGGTAGTACGTAATATATCTGCGAGATCTTGAAGTAGGGAATCGGTGTCACGCCCAGCGTTAAAACCTTACTGGTGTGGTACTGGTGGGCCAAGCTTTTTTTGTTTTTATTTTAAAATTGTGTTTGTCAAGTACTAGGACTTTATGATCGCGCCAATAGGAGCCTCGTCGACACGCGCCAGACAATGGGATTGAACGCGAAATTCATCAGCTTTGCTCCGCTCCTTTGGGATGGGAAGAACTAGGGGCTGTTGTATAGGCTTTTCGCTTGGTTTCATAGCTGGGAGCTGGCTTCACTTCGGGAAAGGATTTAAGGTGCCGTTTGGCGCGCTTCAAACTGGTGACGTCGGCTCACTCCCTGGGACGGTTCATGCTTTCGCATTAAAAAGACAGCGCCGAAATAACACAACCAAGAGGGACAAGACAAAATGCCTTGTCTTATCTTTCTGCCTTGGTCCTCGTGATACTTCGGCGCTGTTTTCCTTGAGGCTATGCTCCACTGCTCGCGCTTGTTTCACAAGTGCTCGAAACCTCGGCTCCCCTTTCGCGTTGCGTCGATCGCGAGTGAGAAAACCCCACGTGATAACCTCCTACATGTGGCTGCCTGGGAACTTCTGGCGGCGAAACGCTTAAACATCCAACACTGCGACTATGGCAGTTGCGGGTACAGTAGCTAAATGGAGAAGCGAGAGTATTGCCTTCCCTAACCTTCCGCCGCAAACTCGTCATTGGCGGAGAAGGGGTTGCATGCACCAAATTTTACTCTCCCGCATACGGGAAAGCCGCCTTGAGGAGCGCCAGGTTTGAGGGGGACACGTTTTTTGCTCCGAGTTCGCGAAATGTACATCTTACACTGAAGTCTGACGAGCAAGAAGCTTCTTGAACCTTAGAACATTGTCACTCATTTACAATTGCGTTATTTTTATAAGCCGAGCGCAGACTCAATGCAGCCGTGAGCAAGGAGACGACACGCAACCACGATGACCAACTCTCGCGCACGCGCTTTCGGGGGTAAAAGGGGGGGGGGGGGGGGGGGGGAGGGCGTATGCACGATGGAGGATGTCGACTATTGCATTACTCTACTACGCAGTTTACCACAATGTCCGGCGCTAATCGCCGAGCCCGTGAAATGCCCCGTGATGATACAAAAATAATCTTTTATCAGTCCCATACTTCCGGGCAAATAGTCGTGTTGCTGCAATACCAATCGAAGGCAGATACTGGTTTATTTTATGTGTCATCACTGGGCATTCGAAACGTGCAAGCCGCATTAGGGAGTTTTCGTAGATCGTTTTCGCCGTCCCGCAAGGCCCTCCGCAACCCGCTACGATAGCGGGAACTCCACAGTCAAGGCTATCGGCGCGCAGGCGCAGTAGCGACTTCTTCGTTGCGGAACGCTTAGCGGAGGGGGCAGCGCGGTCTACGAAAACTCTCTATTGTCAACTTTGCGATTAGCGTCGGATGTGGTGAGACTGAAGCAAATAGGCGCGAATTTCACTAGTCGAGAATTTTGGTCGCTTGGAACTGTCACCACCCCCGAAGCGTATCACAGGCTGCGCAATAACTTCCAATGACGACCATTAAGTGGCGTGAAGAGGGCAAGAGGCTGTTGCTCCATCATTGGCATTTCTCTCGTTCGGGACTGTACATGCTCCATGATTCCTTAGGCCGAGATGGACGCTCTTCCAAGCAAAATGCTACAGCACCTTCCTCGTGCTCTTCTGGTAATAGATAAGTGGTTCGACCTCATAACCGCAAAGCAACGTCCAGGTAGCGACCTTACCTACAGAAAGAAGACAACACACCTGTAATTACACCTGCATACCTCGCCTTTAATAATGGCAGACGACGCTATAAAAAGATAAATGCGATAAACAGGGGAAACGGACACAGAAACTCCCAAGACGCGAGTCGAAGCGATTTCACCAAAACTCCAGCAGTGACCAGCAACGAAGTATCACCATCTTCTGCACCTCTCCCAAACTACGCTTATGAGACAGTTCAGCAACAAATGCCCGACGTCATCCCGAGAAACGTCGTCGGACATAACAATGCATAACAGTACCATTGCAACGCCCACCCAACAACAAATTTATGCCATGGTTAAGACTAATAAAAAAAAAACATTAAACAAAACAAAAAACGCTGCAGCAATATCCTGCCTTTTAAAGTTTAGAAACCAACAATATACGAACAAAACAATACTAAAAAGACCCACATTCTCTTCGGCACGAAAATATCACACACTGCCTTCAACTCTTTGCGAAGATAACAGCTCTTAAACGATAGTTACTACATTGTTTGAATAAACATATATGCGCTGCTTTAGAACACGAGTGGAAACACGAGGAAATAAACAAAAAACACTACGTAAAAACAAAACAAACATCTACATTGTAATGAAAAAGCGAATGTATATTTCCGTCTTCCCATTAGAGAAAAAGTTATAAAAACAAATAAAGAGAATAACGATGGCAAAGGAAGGACCCAGAGAATTACACAGCAACCCAATCTGTCGTATCAGGCGTCAAGCATTGCTCAGTCAAGTTAGAAAACAAAACCAGACCCGCACAGTAGCGTATGTTACACTATATACATTTCAACCCCAACTAGATGCCCAACAAACACGGGAATCAAACTGTACTGGGAAGCGATTCACTAACCAGTTTGACCCGGGATCATGTGCTCACAAGACTAGAATCAACTTTCTCCGGTGCAGCAAAATGCCGGACATTGAAAGAGTAAACTGTGAAAGCAAAAAGCTGCACCTTATCTACAAGGATGCAAGCTACTTGTGCCGTTTAGCGGAGACAAACTGTGAAAAAGGCTCGACAGTAAAGTGCTATGAAAGGTGAAGATTAAGACATCCAAAATCGAGCGAAGGAAATGGGAGCTGGTCTTGCGTACTTAGCAGGTTCCAAGACATTACTTTTTTTTTTTTCTTTCACTGTTACTGCCACATAGATTATTGCACCCTTTCGCGTTCTCGTGATTGCCTTTTCACTTCTCATAGTACATTTCGTCCACAAAGCTCGTTCGCAAAACTCGACCAGTCCCTTTGTCCAAGAACACTTTCCTCGTAACTATACAAGAAGAATGATAAATGAGCAAGTGCTAGCTGCATGTGCATTTACACGGATGAAATAACCGGTTCAGCGTGCAACGGGTAAAATGTGGCGGCAGATGCAACAAAAAGTAAAACAAGCATCCAGGTTCGGTGAGCTTGGTACAAACGAAGTATTATGCAAAAATTAAGAATCATGCAATGTGACGTCAGTTGCGGACTTAAAGGGATGCTGAGCCGAAATTTTGATCCCACAAAACATGCGGTAAAAGCGTGCAACAGGATGCTGCGAACACCAAAACATCATTCATACGGCGATATCTCGAACGGATGACAAACTTTTTAAGAAAAGAGGCGCATTTGACAGAGATGATGTCGTCATGTTTCTCCGAGAAGGAGAGGGAACGGGCTCGCGTCTTCCCCGCCTCGCGGCCTTGAGGGAGCGAAGCGAAGAGAGGAGGAAACTTGGTATATTGACGTCACGCGCCTCGTCGGCCTGGTTCAATCTCGACCTCTTTTTCCAAAAATACGGCCATCTATTCGAGATATCGCCTTGCGAGTACTGGTGTAGAGATTGTAGTGTCCTGCCTACATTTCCTGCATTTTTTTTTTTTTTCGGAAATCCAAATTTCGGTTCACCATCCCTTTAACATTCCCTTGATCGCTATCGCCCCAGAAACACTACGAATTTAGAACTGACAGTTGTGGCATCGCATGAAACAAAACAAAAAAGATATACCATGGTACACCCTCAACCTCCACAGACTCTCATTAAATAAAGATTGTGCCTACAACATTTTGTAAAGTCAAGAGACATTTACTTACATGACAATGAACTAAACAAAAGACTGGTTTAACTGGTATGGTCATGAGAGTATACAACTATATAAATTCGACTGGTACTTGCATACCTATTTTACTTATGCTTTAGTCGCTGCAGTAGTATACATGGCAGCAACTGTGTGGTGTCTTTTTTGTTGCAGTAAATTAATGCTGAAAAATCTGTATTGATCCCCAGCCACAAATGAACAGACCAATGACAAAGCCAGTAATAACATGAGAAGTACACTAAGGTGGTGACCAAAAATAACTGAAAATACAATGTTATGCAACTGAAGGCTGGACTGCTTTTGCAGCAGAATAAAGATACAAACAAATGGTAGCCAGAACAGGTTTCCACAGGACTAATGCAGATCCCTGCACAGAAAGTTGCGGAACTTGGCCTAAGTATCTACAACTTAGGTACCGTTCCTGCAGCATAATCAAAGCAAACAAAATTGAGATATGTAACAGAGGCTGAGCAAGAGATTTAAAAAATAAACCATAAAGTACACCATTACATATAACTGCAACCTAAGAGGGGAAAAAAATAGGAGCCGAGTCAAAATCATCTCTTTTAAAGCAGTAGTGTAGCCAGGAAGATTTTTTTTTTCTTGGGGAGGGGGGGGGGTTGAGGTGGCTGGGATGTCCAGGACTTAGGGTGCGGAGAGGGGATGGGCTGAAGCCCCATTAGCTTCCCCCCCTCTCCCTCTCCCCCTCCCCCTCCCTCTCTCCCTCTCCCCCCCCCCCCCCCCCCAGGGCTATGCCACTGTTGTGATGGTGTTAAAGGCAGCTACTAGCTACTAATTTATTTCTCAGAACCCCCATCATATGGCCAATGCAAACGGACAGCAAAAATAGGTTTTCCTTTTCATTCCTTATAAAATCTGTTGTATGAAATGGCTCATGTCATCCCTGGCCTGGTGCAAGCCATAAATGAACTTACAGAGCTTACAATTAAGCAACTGTCAAAGGTATCTTCAACAGAGGTAAGAAAAGTGCAACTATAACAAAATGTCCATCCCCTTACATTTCTGAACAAAGATACAGCCACTCTAGCCCCGAAAATAACTAGAGAGCGAGAAAACTGTGATTAGACGCCCGTCCCCTCAGATTTCTGGACGAAGACACGGTCAACTTACACTGGAAAATTAACTAGTAAGAGGGTCGACGTTTAAGGTACAAAAGAATCTAATCCAAGAGTTCAACAACAGAATTCTTCCATGGACTCTCATATAGAAAGCTACTATGTATATAACCCAGTTAAAAAATGGAAAGGTGAAAATAGAGTTGAAAAATCTGCCCCAGACCTTTCATACATTCTACTCTCTCCACAGCATCAAAATATTCTCTCTATCATGCAACTGCAAATCTATACATGTATTCATCTCAAGAATTATATAAAAAGAAAAAAGTTTTACTCCTCACAAAGCACTGCTTGAGACCAGTTATTTGCTATTTCATCAAAACAATATGTGTTACAAGTGCAAAAAGCCTAGTAGCTTTTTTTCGCTGGCAACCAAATCTTGTACATACTACTTTGCAAAGCAGATGAATAATGCGCAAAACTTGCTTTTTTCTTGGGGGGACAAGTAAAGCCGGTTACCCAGAAACCAATATGTTAAACTTTCTTGGAGAAATAAGCAAGTCAAAAAGAAAGTGCAATAAAGAAATCCCCCATGGATCCCTAATTAGTGGACACAAAGAACATTAAAACGCTCGCTCATCCTTTCAAGACAGCAAATAAACAGACAATTAAACCTGAGAAGTTCCTATGTTCCCATGAAAAGCTCCAGCCAAAACCCCCCGCGCTCACTGGAACGGAGAAATACTGACGCAGATTAGGACAGCCCACCAGTACTAAACCTCCCTGACCTTCTACCAATTATACCCAGTTAAGCAGACCAAAAGAAACAAAGTAAATAGGGCATTGGTCAATGTAGTAACGTCAGTCAAATAAAAAGAAAGAGGAAAAGGAACAAAAAGTTGAAGGTCGAGGCTCCAAAACTCGTTTCCCTCAGATTAAATATTTCTTGGAAAAAAAATAAGAGGTCGCTCTTCCTTCAAGCCAGAAACCCCACCCAACTGCCAAACCAGCCTTTAACCGCCGACACAAGAACAAAAGTAACACAATGAAACAAGCTCGAAACGAAAAAATTTCCTCGACTTTCTCAGTCACTTCGTAACCCTCTCAAAGCCACAAACGAGCCTGGCACGCCCAAGGACCTCCCCTGAAAGCCACCTGGAACCATCTTGTGCGCTCCAGCTGCGTAAGCCCAGGTTCAGTGGGAGGACCTTCAACACCGAAGACCAAAAAGATCAGGCCCACTTCGAACGTACAATGAAAACCAGTTTTGTGGGCTACGACGCCGTAACTTCGTGCGGCCGGACAGCGGACTGCCGATGAAAAATAGCAAAGGATGAAGCAGCTCAAATCAAAAGATACAAATAAGGATTGAATTTCATTAATGGGAACCGAGCAGCACAGTGGAAGAGAGAGGCGCATGAACCGGGGCAGCCAAGGTAGCAGAAGTTTACTTCGGCTTTGCACATTTCCCGCAGAAGCATTAAGAGTTTAGAGAGCTTTTTGCAGGGGCGAGACTAAAGACGATTCCTCAATTGGTTCTTATCGGTCCTTCGTAATTGGTGCCATCTCATGGCATTTGTCAAAAACGCGAGCGAACCTCTGACACACTTGCTCCGCGGCGAGGCGATGCCGTTCAGATGCCTCTCTCTTCTTTGACTGTGTCCTGCAGTTAGGCCTGATTCTCACCGAAATCAGTAAGCCGACAAAGGTGAAAAGAGGCGGACAACAAGCCAGATGGATCACCCGCCTTGTTACCCTTCGCCAATTTTCTTCAGGACAAATATGCCACAACATTTCACGTCACAATCGTACAACTTTGATGAGAAATAGGCCAAAGTGCAGCGGCGAAAATTTAAAAGAGGAAGTTAAGTGTTGACCTTTAAAAGACCCCCGTGGGCATTTAAGGATGAAATAAATGAAATGATTCTCTTCCTCCAGCTTTGAATCAGACAGGTCCAGCCTACAACCTCTCAAAACCAAAAACTAGTTTTAGTTTTCGAACGTTCGTAACGTCCACCGAAGGTTTGAACCATTTCAAACCGTTCACGCCGGCAGCTTGGTTACATTCGTCGAGTCCAGCAGAAGCAAGCCAGGCTCGTCACGACTCTGAAAGGGCCGAAATCAAGACTCTCGCAACCTGCCGACTCATTCCCCCGAGCGGCAGCAGGCTCGCGAGACGCACTGCAGGTTCTGGCAGCCATTGGCAGACTCCTGGAAAGGGCCGCCGTCGACGTAGTCGCAGTAGAAGAGGTTCTCGGGAAGCAGGCGCGGGGCTCCTCGCATCAGTTCGCCCAGGCCGCCTCCCGTCAGCTGGAAGCATCCCGAAACGTCCAGGTACTCCAGTCGGGAGAGCAGGTGTTGGTCCGTCAGAAACCTGTGGCGTCGACGGAGCAACGTCTTAAGGCCTGGAATGCCTTCTAACGAAAGCTACTACTCCCAGAAATTTGTCTGTCCGTGCATCCGCGCATTTATTTCCTCGCCAAGTTTTGCAGACTGTGGCCATTCATCGGCTAGATTGCGGCGCACAACGCCGCCCGAACTGTAGCATAATTGGTTGCGCAACGACGTGCGGTGCCACTAGGTGGCGCGAGCGACCTTCCAACACAAAAGAAGCGCCCACTACCGTCCATCCCATCCATCCATTCGTCCAGAAGAACAAGGGGTCTGCAAACACTTACAGCAAGCCGTCGTCCGTGATCTTGAAGCATCCAGACAGGTTCAGAAACCTGAGCCCAGATGTCCGGAACGGCTCCTCCTTGTAGGCGCAGGCCGGCACGTCCCACGCCGACTGGTTGCAGTCCGACGAAGAGCCCCGCAGCGACCAAATCCGCTCCGACGTGGCGTCTCGGCCCGACGAGCCAGGCGGAGGCGAATCGAGGCCGGACAGAGCGCACACCGAAGAGAGGTAGCTGGACAGGTCCCAGTCCGACAGGTTGGCGGAAGACGAGAGGCTAACCACGCCGCTGCAGCGGTCCCGGTATGGACAGCCGTCGCAGAACCGACGAACGCCGTGCAAGACGACGTTTGACGCCGCGGAGCAGGGGACTGCCACGTCCACGCGGGGGTCGGCGTCGTGCGACGGCGTCTCGCGACGAAGGAGCAGGCACTGTGCCAGGCGCACGAGGCCGACATCGGTCATGGACGAACAGCCAGAGAGGTCGACGTGTTCCAACGAGGAGCAGGCCTCGTGGTCTTCGAGCCTACAGTAGACTCTCATTAGTTCAGACCCCAGGAAGTCACAAATTTTATTTGAATTATCGTAAATCCATCTAAATATGATGCAAGGTAAAATTATGATTCACCTTATGAATGGCTACACATATAAAGCAGATATTTGATGATTTTCTCTACATAGGATCATAAGCAGGTGAAACATTTGTGAAATGTATGACATAAGCTAATTTATCCCTCAATAATCATGGAATGTTTAGACAGCACATGACAACTGAAAACAATATTAAGTTTGCTCATCAGGCCAAGAAGTTGCCTAACGTCGGCTATTAGACAGGAACACATGAGCCATGAAAACGGTCACCACGCAGCACTTTTCATAGCAACTAGTGCGGACGCTGTGACCTGGAACTATGCCATGCCGCCGCGTCACAGCCTCTGCGCAAGTTGCTATGGCAATTTCCGCGTGGTGCCCGTTTTTATAGCTCATGGGTGCCCTGCTTGAGCCCCGTTGAGTGCGCTTCTCTCTAAGCACCGGTGCACTGCGGAGAAGCAACACCCCCGAAAGCAAGCTTCGCGCGTGTTGCTTCCCTGCAGCGCACCAATGCTCGGAAAGAAGCGCACTCAACGGGGCCGCCAGAAAAAATTGTAAATTACACAAAAGCGTTGTTCGAATTAAGTGGCGTATGAATACATTAAAAACATAGCGGAACTACAAACATTTCGAAATATGTTTGAATTAACTAGAAGTGTGAAATACCCGAGTTTTAATTATCGCGGGCCTACTGTACGACGAAAAAGGGAGACGGGCACGATCCCACTCAGCTCGTCTGAACGACCCAAACGTTTGAGGCTAATTCACATATTTGCACTTACTGCGACCGATCGTGACAACCTACGACGAAAAAGCGCACTGGCGTTACCTATCGGGTAGCCTCAGAACACTTCTGATCTGGGTATATTTTTCAATTTGTTGTGCATCATTCTTTCACCACGGACTCAAAACAATTCTCACGACATTACGAGCGAACCTTTCTTATAGATAGTGCATCGACCTCATCTTGTAAATAATGTGAAATTTTTGGTTCAGTTATCCACAGACCAGGAGAGTTCCCAGGGTAGCCGATAGGTGGTGCCGGTCTACCAGAGTATTTTCTCGTCGTAAGTGGTTACGAACACTTGCAACGCACTCAGCTGCACTCAAGCAGAAATGTGTGAACTTGCCCTTACATGCAAACCTGTTCATAGCGTAGCAATGTAAAGCAAGGTTGTACTCTTTCCTTATGGTGTTGTTTTAAGATGCCCATTGTTTAAGGGGCATCGACAGGGTATTTATGCTCACCAAGGTTTTTTATCTGAACGTGACCTACAAGTGTCCAACTACCCGCAGCACAATTTGCGGCTCGAAATTCGTTTTCTTTCCGTCTGAAAAAAGTCTGTCGAGAATAGGCCGGTTTCAGTCACGCTCGCTCTCTTTTGTCTGGTCCTGTGGTGTTCAAACTGATGTGTACCAAATATATACAAAGTCGTTTGTCTTCTGAGGTGCACGCTCCATATTAAAAACAGAAAAGAATATAAACCCCATCTTTCTGGACTCCAAAAAACCGAAAATACGTAACCTGAAAAAAAAAATACATATAGTGCACAGATTGCAGGAAGCACATGCACTACGTCATTCTCAATACGGCGAAGTGCCGCAGGCTGGACACGTTGACGACACGCGACAGAACACGGTTGTAACGGATGTGGGACAGGTGCTTTGGGTACCAACCAATCGATCTTCAAGCATAGAACATAAAGCAGAAAGGATATAAGTGGGAAACAATCGCGCGACAAACGGTGCACGCAACTTCGTTGTCATCGTCGGCTGCTTCACACGCCGTAGAAGTGGAGAAAAGTAAAACAAAACGCAGTCGGGCTTTGCCACGTGACTTCCGGCAACTCTCTTTCTCTACATTTCTCCTCCCTTTTTGATACATATCGTCCACGTGTCGCGGCCATGAGCTTCTGTGCTTATCTCTCAATTTCGGATTCGAGCAGTTGAGTTTTTTTTCGCCTTCATTAAAAATATATGTGACTCTGTAGCGAAATGTTGTTTGGGAAGTCTTCTGACACCGTATTAATACGCCTAGCAAAAAATGTAAAAACTTTTGGGGGGTGTCAGTGTCCCTTTAACCCATTTGCTATTGCGCGCGTCGAGCGCTTCCGGGGCCGTCTATAACGCATGTTTTTCCCCTAAATCAGGGCCAAAATAGGCATGACTGTTTTGCATCTATAATAAGCTTTTACAGTAGAACTCAGTGCAGAGAACAAGAAAACATGTTTATGTACATGTTTAAGTGGTTCGTTCAAGTTTATAAATCTCCAAGGCCCTCACAGATTCTTCCTCGTATGAAAGATCTTGAAGCACTCCATCCTCAGTCACTTAGGCTTTGCACAGCCAGTGCGCTCTTGTCGTGATTCGGACTCAGAACTGCTGTCAGAATTGCTCCCGTCGTCGACAGAAGGCCCCAAAAACTCACTATCCTTACCAGACGTCCCATCATCTTCGCTGTCGAAAAGGATATCTATGATTTCATCGTCAGAAAGACCACACCATACAGTGGACGCTGCCATCTTCTCCAAGCAGGCAGCGACCGAGCAAGAAGGACAACACACAAAAGAACAAGCTCAAACAAACACAGCGAACAGAACGACCCTCACCATCTGTTGGCATGGCAATGTATCGAACTACACTACCCCAAGTCTACATGGCGCGCCATCTATGAATGGCACTTCAAAACAGAAATTCATGCATACCAGCGAATTGCCGGCTTTGGCAATATGGCCCCTGCAGCACGCCCGGCGATTCGCTGGCTTTGGTAGCAAATGGGTTAAAGGATCATGTAGTACGAACTAGCCCATTTCTCCATTTTAATTGCACTCTCACTTTGGATTAGGATCAAGACTACCCAGGATGGTCATTAGATCGGGAAAAAAATTGACCGCATCTCCACGTGTTGAATGATGTTGATTGGGGCGAAGCTCTGGTAGTGCTTGTCTGCGTAGACGCTGAGCCGCAGCATGCTGAGCCTTTTGTTCGTTTTCATCTATGTCAGAAAGAGAATGTGTGGTATGGAACATGGTTCTATACGCATTTGAGCCTTTGACCGCAGCGCCCTCTCGTCTATAAACGTTGAGCCAATGCATGCAAAGTTTAACGCAATTATATACGCATTTGACCGCAGCACCCTCTCCTGTATAGACATTGAGCGGCTACACGCAACGTTTCATCCATAACATCCCCAGCTCTCGAGTTACTACAACATCTCAGAGCCCCCCCTACTCGTCCTACAGTCGTGGCCGAGTGGTTAAGGCGATGGACTAGAAATCCATTGGGGTCTCCCCGCACAGGTTCAAATCCTGTCGACTGCGCAAACATTTACTTTTGTTTTCACTTTTTTTTTTTTTTTTTTTTTTTTTGCCTTACACGAGCATGTGAGCTCACGAGCACAAGCAAGATCAATGTGAGCACGGACGCCGGACGGACAAGGCTAGACCCTAAGGAGCTTCACCCCGAAAAATGCCCTCGCATTCTGAAGATTACTTGTTGGAAGCAAAGGCTCCGTACAGAACTGTTGTGTATCGTTACAATTTCGTCGCACTACGCATGATACACTTGCCAGAACTGCACTACGTGGTCTCTCCATGGCCCTTCTAGCTGCAAAGCAATCACTCAAAAGAAGGCACAAGAACTCACCCTTTGAACGCCGCATCTCCTGTCTGGGTGTAGGAGACGTCCAGGTGCTGTACGTTGGGACAGTGTTTCAAGATCGTCCTCAGCTGAAATCAACGCAAACAGTGAGATGACGCCACAGTCGAAATCGCGACGCAACCAAATACTATTGCAACTGCCCAGAAAGGCAGGTGGTGGTGGCAGGTAGGGTTAATCTCTGATGGCATGGCACTCGTTCGCACTCCTCCGGCTCGTGTAAGAAATTATCGAGCTGAAATAGCACTTTGCCGTAACTCGAGACGAAATTCGCCCGGAACCTGCGCTCAGAGCAAACTCCACCACCAGATTTGAAAGAGTAATGCAAACAAAAGCGTTTATTGTTAGTTGTAAACTTGTCGCTAGTGTTATGTTTTAAACATTCTGTAAAGTACCATTGACATTTTTTTTTATTTTTCGGGAAATCATTGTAAAAAGATTGTATGACCAGGAAAAACATAACCAGTAACACTAGTACAGAGGCTATAAATCAGACATAAAGCAACCCTCGCACACTTCATGCCACATGGACTTTCACAGCTGCGGACAACCACCGCATTCATGTAAATGCAGGTCGACCTTCTTTTAACTGTTAACTTAAATCAAGGTTATGCCCACAATCGTACCCATAGGAGTTAGCAAAATTATTGAGTCCACTGAGCTAACCCGGCTGCCAGCACACCGGCAAAGCAACGTAGCTCAATGCACACACCAGTGCAGAGCAACGGTGCTCGACGAGCGCACGCCAGCACGGTGCTGCGAAACTTGACGCAAGCAGCACGGCGCGAATGCCACATGCGGAAGCGAGTGGTTAACACGATAATTGTGCAATCTTATCAGGCATAGCAGTCTCTGGATCCGTCCTACTGTGGCAGCCGCCATCTAACTATTTTAAGCGCAGCGAGACTGAGTTCGAGCAAGTTTCAGTGTCAACGACTTTGAGTTCGAACGAGCAAGACGTCTAGCGAGGTGATGAGTGGGGTTCCACGTTTGCGGAGTTTATTTCTCTCCGAAATCGCGAGGGTTGTTTTTTTAGGGTTCATATTTTTCCACCGAGTCTGCGTTTTCCGGAGTCGATTTTTGATGTCAGGCGGGCATGGGATTCCTTAACCACCGGAGAACATGCACACGAGCGGAACATTCGCAAAGCCTATTGCATCGATGAGAGAAAGAAACGAAATAAGGGCCGTGGCTCTGAAGGAAAAAGCGGCCTTGGGAAAAGTTCACTGTGGGACGCATTTTTACTTTAAACAAACTAAAGCCGCCGATAAAAGTTTCTCTTCCGCGAAGCTTAGCTATTTTGTCGTTAGAGGCCGTTTTTGGACAAAGTCCAAAAAACTCCAAAACACTTTCGCCGGTAAAGTTTTGGGCAATTGAGATTTATTTGATAAACTAGAAAGTGTCGGAGTTCCATGGCCACCCGACAAAGGGCGCCAGAATGTTCTCTCGTCCAGAGCCGTTTATTGGGAGAGTTGGGCCATACATTGGTCTGAATAGGCGAGCATCTCGGGGCGAACCACAGGCCTCGAAGCAGCCCCTAGCGGTGGTCGAGAGCTCTAAATATGTGACACGACTAATTTAAGCCGTTTTAGCGTTGCTAGAGTAAGAAGGTACTATAACTCTCGGTGACTGAAAACTTGGCGCATGTTAGGATTTCGTCACGTCCATATTCAACGGTACAATAAACGAACGTGCGGTCCAAACCAGGGCAGAGTTGCTAGAAACAGCGTGTCAGCTGAGACTGGGGGAAGGAAAGCACTGCCAAAGCCAGCGCACGAGCCGTGCGGGACCATCTCGACGCGAGCCGAGCAAACCGCGTCTTAAGACGTTCGCGTGCCCCACCCTTTGCACCGTTTTAATAATAACAATAATGATATCTTTATTTGGCTCTAGAGAGCGGCGGCACCGCGGAAAGGCAACAGCCCATACCATGGAGGCCAGCGGTGCCGCGTCTAATGAACATGATAATGCGATGAGTATACATATGCAAGATGACGACGAGATGGATTGTTGCTATTGTGGAGGATGTCAGTTTGATTTGAAGATGTCCACATTTCGTTGAGGTGGGTCAGCAGCGGGTCAAGGGGATCTGCAGCTTGCCGTTTGATCGGTGCAGGGTTGCAGAAAGAAGTCCCAGGAGCATGATGGTGCTGTCGCTTACTGGGGTCAAAGCATCAGGCTCCAAGCGGGTAGCCCTGTTAAAACAGAAAGCTGCCGCCTTCGAGGTACCGAGGCCCAGGGCCTAGATTGAGGGACCGCCGACGTTCGGTGTGGCATCCTCTAGACGTCGTCGTCGTCGTCGTGCTGCTGCGAGATTGAACGCTTCTATTTCACACTTTAAATGTTGTTTCCAATATTGTGACGTTGCGGTTTGCTGAGTGGTCGACGTGTTGTCATATATTTAGTTTACGCTCTAACCGCGGGGGGATATTCGGTGCTGGCGGCGGCCTTTTCTCCGCCTATTGCCAAACTCTCCCAATATATGGCTCTGCTCTCGTCATAAGAGATTTTAAGAGGTTTTACATTTGAAGACACACCGTCCTAAGCAATCGCAAATGTGTGAACCAGCCTTTCATTTCTGGGGTCAATGGGTACCAACAGAACCCTAGTTGTCAGTAAAGACAATGGTGGGGGGAAAGAAAACTTACCAGTCTGTTGTTGAGGGCCTTGGAGGTCGCCAGAATCACAGTCCGAACCCCGGCCCCTACGACGGGCAGGAGGTGCTTGGCGAGCGAGGCGAGCAGCGCCGTCTCCCTCCTGACGCTTCCGACCGAGACCGAGGAGGCGTCTTCTTCGGACGAGCTGTTGCCACTGCTCGACTCGTCAAAGTCCGCATCCTCGTCGAGGCTCTTCTCATTGTCTTCCTGGCAGGTGGGCTCCAACACCGTCCTCTGCCACACCCCTGAGAAAAGAGGACGCCCGTCTTCAAAGCAGTGCCGGAAAACATTTGACGAAACGTGACGGCGTCTTTGCTTTGAGAGAGACGGCAAGGAAGTTTGCATGGTATCAATTACGGCGCCGGAATGGAAAAGCTTTATGTTTCGGAATCGCCCCCTGAAACCAAATACTCCGATAATCACATCCGTGTTCCATCTCGCTGCCGCTCGACACTCCCCAAGCTGCCTCAGTGGCTCCGGGACAAAGTGCCACCCTGACGGAGGCTTACTGTGGCCTCGGTAGCATGCCGAAATATCCCTGCGTGGTCAATATTAATCCTCAATCCACTGGGGTGTGCCAGGTGCCCTGCTAGATCTAACAAAAAAATTTCCCTGCTAAATCTAGCGGAAAAATTTCTCTGGGGGGTCACGTGACCACCCAGGTCCCGTGACCCCCCCCCCCCCCCAAAGTCATGTGACCCCTCCAGGTCACGTGACACCCCCAGGTAGCGTGACATCCCCAGGTAGCATGACACCCCGAGATCACATGACCCCCCCCCCCCCCGCGAAGTCACATGACCCCGCCCTCACCCCTCAGTGCCCTTCTCTACTCCTCCTTCAAGAGCTGCGCTCTAATTCGGCGTTACAGGGGGTTGTAAACGGCTTTCACTGTTTTCTCTTTATTTATTCATACTTGACCCCTCTTTTTGTTTGTATTTATTCATACTTTCCACGACCAATGGGGAGTTTTCTGTCGGTATTTGATTGTCCACGGACACGATAGTGAGGGAACTAGCCCTTAATAGCTTCGCTGCAATAAAATGAAATGAAACGAGAGCAGGAAGCTGACCTCTGGCCCAGTGGACGGGCAAGAGCTCTCTCCACAGGGTGGGGTCCCTGGACGCGCTGTACCAAGTCCTGCAGACACGTCCGCAGAGAGACAGGTCCCGGGCAGTCAGCCGTGAGAAGACATCCAGCAGGATCTCCTCCGGCAGGTCGGCAAAGGACTTTGCGTCTTCGGCCGGAGTCTGGAGCTCGGTGTCATCGTCATCGGCCTCTGTGCAGAACCCCACAGAAAACCGATTTCTATCGCCTTCCTACTCTGTACCCAGATGGGCAGCATCGCTGCACGGAGACCGTCACAGAAGACTGTCCATAGCACATATCCGTATCGTTCTTCGCACCTCCGAAAAAGTGATTACCGTAATATCCCAAGTCATTGCCCATCCCTGAGTCATCGCCCACACCATTTTTTGGGCCAATATCGATTTCCCAAAAAACACAGAGTCATCACCCAAAATTTCAAGTACCCCAACGCGGACCCTGCGATCCGCGAACACTCATCCCACCCAAATGACGCGGCCGCAGACCTTACAGTTGGAGGACGTCCATGACAAAGTAAAACGAACCAGGGAAAGACATTTCTCTTTGTTTACGGATTTCCTCCGCGAGTGACCCCAAAGTCGTAGTGTATCCGTGTGAAAAGAAAACGATGGAGGTAACAGAATAAGTTTTTTTTGCTTACAAAAAGATTGTCCACAGAAGAAAAATAAAGTCGGAAAGATAACAAAAGCAGTAACTCATTCAGGGATCGCGAGGTAAGCGAACGCTCCATATCTTGGAATGTAACCGCGGGGTGTAAGGTCAAAGTCTGTCTCCGCCGATGTAATGCCGCCGCAAACCCGCTCCTTCTCCTCACACGTCACAACGGCAGTTGTGAAATGTTTAAGACAAAGCCAACGGGTAAATAAAGCATTGCTGGAACGCCGTACACAGACGTTTGTAGAGCGTCCCATTTCGAGCAACGTGTTTGTGGTGCCGTCCATGCATCAAACGAGAAAGTTGCACAAAGACTTGCGATTGACAAGGCACCTGACCTGGCACGACGCCAAAATATTTGTCAATGCGATCGCCGGCTTTCCCGCTCTCCCAGCATCGCTCTTCTTCGCTTCTTTGGTCCGCTCGCTCGCCTGCTCGTTGCACCTAATTGGTTTTCCCATTTTCTAGTAAACTTTTTTTTTTTTTTTTTACTAACGAGAAGAACATGGCAGTGACGTGCTTTCACGAAACAAACGTTTGTGCTGTATGTCGATCGGCGGTGTTCATAGCACGTATGCAACAGCGGACTTCGCGATAGTAAAACATTCTTTCATGAGCATTCTTTGTATAAAACAATAAAACTAATCTGAGTTTTGAGTTTGATGTATCTCTTGTTCAGCCGCGCTAGATACGCACGAAAAAATGGGCGTTCTTTTTCCCGCTTTTTTTTTTTTTCAACTTTTTGTGCTCACCCATCGAAACATGGCCCACCCCATTTTTTTTATGAATTTTAGGCAACAGGGGGATGGGCAATGACTTGGGATATTACGGTAGTCATGGCAAGATTCGTGTGCTCCATTTGCTCCTTAGCTAAGAACTGTCCAACGAGAAAACTGCTTCAGTTTCATTGTATAATTTATGTAACTCGACAATGTGCATCGCCAGGGAAACGAGGCATAAAAGTTAGTTCAGATGAAATAATGGAACATTCTCTAGGAACGTCTTATCTGACTTGGCCAAAGAGGGTATGTACAAGTCCTTGCATGCACTCATTTCTTTCTTCTTTTTTTTTTTTTTCACAGGGATATTTTACTTTCTTGGGCATATTGTTCTTTGTAAGCAGAAAAAAGCAAAGAACGTCAATGATTGTGCACTTCTGTTTCTTTCATTAAAATTGTAAGGTGAATGCACGATCATGCCACCAACATACGTAAGCACAATCATTCTGTGTGGTAAATTGCATGTAAAAACCCTCAAATCATTAATACAACTCTAAGTCATCACGCGAGTTACGTTCGGCGTTGCTTCCCCGAATCGGTCACAGAAAAGTACCTCCAACATACAACTCCCCGAGTTCGAATTCGGGTAACTTCCAAAGTCGGAGAACTCATCAAGGCATAGCGGTGACTGAAAAACTGAAAGGAAGAGTCACCACTCACTCTTGTCGACGTTCTCGAGCTCGCTCCAGCACTTTTCTTCCGAGCAGCGTGCTTGGCGCTTGCTGTGCTCCTGTATCACCAGTTCCTTGAGTGTCTTGAGCTCCTCGTAGCCAAAGTACTGGATAAGCATCGGCTGGAACACCTAACCGACGGAAGAACGTTTTGCTTCTGTAGCTCAGGTCTCGTAATTATAAGCCTGTTCGAAACCACAGCATTCTTGAACCATAGTTAAAACTGCAAACTCATATTCCTTTTGGGAAAGCCTTCGAACAACACCCAGTGCTACCGTTTTTACTCGTACATATTAATAGCGCACTGAAAGGGGACACAAGCAAAGCGGAGGATCTTGGTTGTACACGAAGTGGATATTTTGATCAGGGGACGCCCAGAAGTGAAAAAACAAACAAAGTAGAGAAAAAAAGAGACCAAGGGCAAGGGGCTTCTATATGCAAGCCATCCGAGCCGAATAAGGTATGTGGAAAATCTGGGCAAGATCAAGAGAACATGCGCCAGGTGAAATTTTTTTTTTTTTTACAGTTTGTGGTGCTTAATCTTTTCTTTATAAATCTGATGAAAGATTTAATATAGCTTGTTTTTTAGGTTCTCGATGCAATGTACATGCAGAAAAAACCATATTCTTGAGCACACGCGAGGAATGGCAACACACTTCAAAAAGCCCAGTAAAATAAACTAATTTGCTCCTTTTACAAATTGGTTTTTATTTTATTTTTGCAGTAGCAACGGAAGAGGAGACAGACTAAAGGTGTAAAGGCTGACAAAGGTCTCTGTCCCCAATGCAGCTCTTACAAACTAAATGCGGCATTAAAATCAACATGGTCTTTGGTTTTGTGGTTTCTACCTTGGTGGGGGCGTCGTAAAGCAAGTCGCTCCAATACGGATTAAGCACAATTTCCTTTTATTATCGCAACTTGTGAGCTCCATCAACGGTTTTCTGGCCCAGTCCCATTTTGACTTCTTCCCGTGCCAGGCCTGACCTTTCAAATCCGTTTTTTTTTTTTTTTTTTTTTTTTTTTTTTTTTTTTGTGCCAGGTGGTGTTAGCTGCTGTCCAATGACACTACAGTCTGAGCTCATTATAACAGACCTTGATTTTGACCAAGATTTTGATTGCTCTAAGAGGGGTATACAAGATATGAAGTTGAGTCAATGGTATGTAAAGGGAAACCAACTGAACTTCACAAACCAGTACGTTATATTCAAATGTCTGTTGTAACCAGGTCTGTTGTAACGAGTTTAGGACTGTACAGGTGTCATTGAGAATTTTAAGTGACTCGGTATTCTTTTGTTTGCTTGCCATAATTTTTTCGAGTTAGTGAAAGTCGTCTTTGCACATGTCTAAAAGTATACTTGTGTCTTACTTCACAAGTATTTGTATTATAGAGATTTTTCTGTAAATCAGGCGTCAATATGCTATTTTTTTTTCTTTTTAGGTGGTTCAGTGTGGAGGATTTTGCATCTTACCTTTATAGTTTTCAAATAAGTGCACTATTTTTTTTCTGCAACGTAAGCAGTGTTTTGTGTTTCATGGACAATGTTATTCCCCAAACTAAAATACAATAACACAGTTTAGAATAAAAAAAGAGAATAATAAGTTGTTGTTGTTTTTTCAGCCACGTTGGAATTAGGTTTTTTTTATCCTATATGAACATCTAACTGCCTGGGACAGCTCAGAACTTCGTTTATTTACATGTGAATTCCAGTTGAGCTCATAGTTAAGCCAGATGCTCCGAAACTTCTGCTATTTAACTCCTTTAATTTTAGTTTTAAAATGTACAAGTATATTTGTATTAGTATCGCTTTTGTTTATTATGACAAATATTTTATACTTATGTTTTCAGTGTTTAATAGCATTTTACTTTTTTTGGAGCCATGCGGCTAGGTCGGCAAGATAGCTATTTGTCGTCAATTCTAGCAATTCTTTAGAGGACGCGGCAAAAAAAAATTTTGTATCATTAGCATACATGATAAGTTTGGGAGATCTGGGAAATGCTGTAATGTCATTTATGTAAAGTAAAAAAAAATAACACAGGAGTCCTAATATAGAGGTTTGTGAGACCACCGAGTACAACGAACCAAAATAATGTGTGCAACACTTCTTTCATTTTAAAATAATTTAAAATAGCAAACATGCCATTTCAGGGGGCTAACAAATGTTTCTTAAATTTTTCATAAATGTAAAAAATATACATTTTAACCAAACTTGGATAGTTGCATTCTGCATATACTAAAGTATACGCATGGCAAATTTGGTTGTGACAGGACAATATTAAAGGGGTACTCCACCGGTTTTTTCATTGTCTCCGATTTGCTTGAAATTTTGCTAAACTAACCAACAAACATTGCTAAAATAGTATCCCAAATATTAGGTCAAAATATTGTTTTTTCGCAAAGTTATTGAATTTACAGTTTCGGTCTTCACCATGTTTTTCAAACTGAAAGTCTCTACTGGCAACAACAACAAAGTGACGTCAGTGGAAGGCAGGGGTTAACTTTTTGGACTACAGAAGTTGTTCCCAACGGATTTGAAGCAGTTTCTTGGTGTCAAATGAGTGCTTTGAAAGCTCGCTCCCGTATCCGCGCTCCAGCACGGAACAAATGATTGGCATATTCTATTTTTAGACTACTTGCTCGACTGGCAAGCCTGCCTGCCACTGACGTCACGGCACTGAAAAGTGCGCAAATATTTGAATATTGGTTTTTGCACCATTTTCATTTGCCGATTTCACAATACCTATTATGAATTTCGCGATGCTAAATAGCATACCGGAAAGGGTAAAGGCCGGGGAGTCAGAAAATATAGTTAGTTGAGGTAGCTCAAAAAATCGGTGGAGTACCCCTTTAAGAACAGAAATTCTTGTGCACAAACCGTGAAGATACTCCAAAATTACATAAAAAGAAAAATGTGTCTGAATGTGTCGCGATGCGGAAAATATTATTTTGTTAATAATTTTCATTGAGAAATTGAAGCTACAGAGGATTGCAATGGAGACGAGACGGCTAGGCCTGCTTAGTAATGTAAATGTGATGGTGGGCGACATTGCAACTTGAACAGCCACGCAAAAGAAAAATGGCTAAAATTCAAGTTGCCTGGAGCTCTTCAAATGCGTATTTGACTAATTTCTCAATCATGAGTACTATTAGTTTTGTTTAGGCACGTTCTGCAGCGTTTCATCGACGGATACGTGTAAGGGCTGAGCATCGACAAAAGTCACCAATTTCACTAGACTAAAAGTGGTGCCCTCACATCCCCTTCCGAAATATATATAAAAAATATGGGATTTCTTTTTTACATAATCAATAAAACTATGAACTATAAAAAAATACTTCATGGTCCCATTAAGGGACATATGCAAAGGAAAAAATTGTGTGTTTAAATAGCCTGGATAGAAGGATGTCTTAAAATGAGTTAACAAGAAACAAATAATTTCGTTAGAGCTATATCTATGGTGCGAAACGAACTTGTGGTTGGTGCTCGTGGGAGTCTGTGGAAAAGTGGCAATTAGCGGTAATGTAACTTGTGCTTTTTCGAGAGGTTTCTATGGGCTCTAAGAGATACTTATTAACCTTTGTTTTAAGTGCAACAAGAAAACAAAGATTAAAAAGTAACTTTTCGAGCCCGTAAGCAGCTCCCAAAAGAGCACAAGCACCACGTGACTAGTGGCCAGTCACGTGACTGCTAGTAGTTGCCACTTTTCCGTGGGTTCCCATGGGCGCCACCTACTAATTGTTTCGCGCCAGAAATATAACTCTAAAAAAAAGAAAAAATTTCCCTATTCTAAATTTATTTTATGACATCTCTTTTCTATCAAGGCTAAAATATTTTTTTTTCCTTTGCTAATGTCCTTTAAAGGGAAGTCTAGTGTTATTTTACCCCGCGAACCCGAATACCCAAACCATTTGGTGCGCAAGTATTGTCCAACACGAGAAAATGCGAAAGACAGTCGCAGTATGTGACGTCCTTGACGGATCCTTTGGTTGCCCAAGGCTAGGAGGCGGGGCCTTAGCCCTATTTTAAAACTGCTCTAATGGCTCTCCAGCACGTCGCATTGAAACATAATTGTGATATCTGTTATTCTAAAAGCCAAATTAATGCAATTCAAGCGTTTTTTCTCAAACGTAGAACTGCCCCATCTTCTCTTTAACACAGTACCTATGCAATCAACCCAACTAACACAGCTGTTGGAAAACTATCAGCCTGCGCATCCGGCGGCAAAACGTGCTATTCTCATAAAATCTGGCACAACCCGTACTTTGTTTCGCAGCAGTCACACGTAGCAGTTAAAGACAGCCACGTGCAAGCATTCTTTTCCTGTCTGCTAAACTCATCGTAGCACATTCACGAGTGACGCATGCACGCTCGCGTTTTTTACGATCCCGTATTTGCACAAACGGCCGTCCAACCCAACATCTCGTTCTGCCCAGGCAGAGAACAATGCTACGTTTCATAAAAGACACATGCAAAAAAAAAAAAAAACATTTTTTTTAAAACAGCCTGGTTGGGAAAAGGAAGTCATAAAACGAATTGACGACAAAAAAGGAAAAATTTTTAGAGCTATATTTACGGCGCGATACAAATTTGTAGTTGGCACCCGCAGGCGCCGCGGAAAAGTGGCCGCTTTAATCACGTGACTGGCCACTATTTGTCTTGTGGTGCTTCCGCTCTTTAGGAAGCTTCCTATGGTCTCTAAAAGTTACTTATTCATCTTCGTCTTAAGTGCAACAAAAAACGAAGATTAATAAGTGACTTTTAGAGCCCAAAAGAAGCCCCTGAAAAAGCGCGAACAGACGTGATAGACCTGTGCGCCGGTTAGATGACAGCGGCGTTGCCCCAGAGCAGACAAACTTGCGCCACGGCGGTGGCGCACCACGCTCAGTGTGCGGTGGCAGCGCAGCGCAACAGTGCACAGGTCTACCACGTGACCCGCGGTGGCTGCTGCGGGCACCAAACTACAAATTTGTTTTGGGCCGTAAATATACCGTAAAATACCGGGTAAGCGCCCACTCAAACTTTGGAGATAATCGCAAAAAAATGGGGGATGGGCGCTTGTCTGGTCATCAATTTTACATATAAATGTTTGTGCATATTTTCTCAGATGTCAGAAATTTGGTAATGGGCGCTTAATGTGGAATGGGCGGATGCGCGGTATTTTGCGGTAGCTCTAAAAGTTTTTTTCGTTCGTTGTAAATTCGTTTTATAGCAATCTTTTTTCATCTAGGCCAGGGGTGGCCAGGCTGACCTGGCCTAAGAGCCGCAAACAAAACCACGGAACTTCTAAAAGCCGCGGGGGGGGGGGGGGGGGGGGGGGGGGGGGCTTAATTTTTTTCAGTCTGACTGTACGTATGGGAGCACAAGGCTGTACGGCTAGGCTGTCAAACTGCAAGCTGCAGTGTGCTTTATTCTGAAATCCTTTCTTTTTTTTCTCTGTTTTTTCTGGGGAGACGCGGAAAGGGGCGAAGGAGGGAGGGGGGGAGGGGGGTCCCCTCACGAGGGATCCGCGAGCCGCACTTGGACCAGCAAAGAGCCGCATGCGGCTCGCGAGCCGCGGTTTGGCCACCCCTGATCTAGGCTGTTTAAAAAAAATATTTTTTTACTTTGCATGTGTCTTTTAAGACAGAAACCTATGGGCTTAGCCTGTTTGTAAACAGAGCCGACGAGACCAAGCCGCACGGCAATTTCTCCTCGCTCATTCGAACGGCGGTCGGTGGAGCAAAGCAATGGCATGGAAATCTCCCAACAGATACAAAAGGAAAAAGTCATACATCAAATAACATGTGCTGCCAACGAGGTCTGCCAAGCTCCGCACGACACGGCAGCTCTCGCGAGCTGCTCGCACGTAAACCGACGTCACGCGATGCAAACGAGCGATTGGGTAGGGAATTTAAAGACTGTAAACGACTTAATTTTTGCGAGAACCTAATTTTTGCGAATTTCGCGAATCACCTGCAACTTTGCGTAAAATAGGTCCCGCAAACAATTTTGGTGAAATGTAAACATATTGGAATCTATATTGAGATCCCACCGCGTTTAACCCACAAATTATTCTAAAACCTAAGCTTTGACCTAAATCGCAAAATATTGAGCCAGCGAAAAATAAATCCTTTACAGGAGACGGTTTTTGAAAACAGAAGACGATACGCAACATTGAGCACACATCATATTGTAATGTCTTCTGGGCGAACGACACCCCCCAGGACTATCGTTTGATACGGGGACTATGGGAAGTTTTGCCACAACACTACTTAGAGCGGTACAATGTTGTGTGCTCAGTGTGGGTGCACGGAAGAGTACAGGGGCCTGTTTCTACCCGGAGTTCTCGCCAGTCAGTTTGTCGTTCCCACGTTTTTGTGCTTGTGCACATACCGCCAACAGCCACTGTGCAAGTCTCGGAAACCACATGCTCGAGTGAATGAGCCTGTGCGTCGACAAAGATGGCTCTCCGACGATGCTCTATCTCGGCAAACTTTGTAGTTGCAAGGTGTCAGACATGCTCTTACGAATAATGATCAACAAAGCTTAGAGCTCAATTAAGCGCTAGAGATACAGTTAATTTGGAGCAAGGCAGCCATACACACCAATGGTTGCTCCCGTTCGCAATCGCGAGATTAAAACGAGACACAATCCAGGCACCATGGTATACTGTGATGTCCCAAGATATACCCTAAACCCCAAAGGATATCCCACCTCTATTTTTAACTCGATTTGCTATTTTTTTTTTTTTTTAAACATTGAAAGGTAGTTTGTTTCTAACAATCATAGTGTTTGGATCGACAATGACCTCGGCGTACATTCGGCTAGTTGGCTACGGCAGGATATAAGCGAACGTTGCTGACTGGGAAGTACAGTCGTCTTGCTTCGTTGTCCCTCACTGCGATAATGAGTTTGACAGGAGAAGCAGGATCTAAAAATATTGTTTTTTTCAATTCTCGATTGTACTCCAAAAGTTGGCCCACACCTTATTTATGCCCGATTTGCTCTCGAGTTTAGGTGGGCTGTATCTCTGGATATTACGGCAATACTCTGCAGCTTCGAGCGATTCAAATGCGGTAATCTACTGCGCTCGGTTCTTCTACGGGCACGCACCTCTTCCTCTTCTTTCATGTGCGGCAGGAACTTGTCGGTGAACTCGAGCAGCGCGTGGCGCAGCCGGAGCCCATAGTTGAGCCGCTCTGACTCGGACTTGTTGGTGCAGGAGTAGCCGTCGTGCACCAGGGCCAGCATGTCCGACAAACGGTTGTCGCTGTGGCAATTGCAGACGGACGAGTCGTGGATCGACAGCGTCTGAGTACGAGGGAAAAAAGAAAGAATCTGTCTTCTGACCTTTTTTGCAGTCGTCCCTCTGAATTACGCAAGAGGTTCTTAACAGCCTAGACTTAGGCCAATGGCGACCTCTGTTGAGGCCAACAGCGACCTCAACAGAAAGGGTCCTCCTTAGTCGCAAGAGAAGATAAGTGAACATTGCTGACTGAGAAAGACAGTCGTCTTCGGTTCATCGACCCTCCCTGCAACCGCAAGTTTTGCAGGTCACAGAATCTTAAACTAGCGTTTAGTGAACTTTCTTTGATCCATATTTTCACCCAATTTGTTCTCGCTTTTAGCTGAACTATTTCTCGGGACATTACGGTAGACATTTTTTTTCCTTCAGTCACGACACTCATGTATAATAGCTATGTATTCAAATGCATAGTTCCTTTCAAGGTTGGCGCACAAACAACACTCTCTCAATGCCCACTTCCAACCTTGCCTGAGGGATATCTTTGAATCTAAAACAGAAGAAACTAATTGTGCTTGCAATATCAAGCTGAAAGTGCAAAGCATCCAATGTTGGGAACAGACTTTTCAATTCATGTTTAGAAAACTTCTTTAATTTGTAGATTTTTTTATGAATTGGAAGCCGCGCACTGAACGGCTGAACTTTGATGCATCATAAAATCACTAATAATAGGCCAATCTCAAAAGCACTTCCAACCTTCACACTCCGTAGCATCTAGTCACAAGTATGAAGACATTTATCGTCGAGTAGTTTACTCCCCTTATTTTTTCCACCAACAATGCAATCTAAGTATCTTGAGGACTGATTTGACTCATTTGAAAAACAATGAAATATTTTAGAAATGCAGGAAATTATTACACCGGGTATTTGGTGTGACGTCACAGGCTTCCAAAGTGACCGTGGGATGCCATGTTGATTTTTTTTTTTTTCTTTTTTCTGTTTAGATGTTTTTGAGACTCTGGAGGCCCCTTTGCGCTCACTCCCCAGCAGTCCCGGCTAAATGGATTAGACGCTGCCAGATAATCCTTTCTTTCTTTGGTTTCATTACTGGGTAAAGCTATCCAATCGAGAAAAAGACAATGAGCCCAGAAGAAAAAGGAATGCGAAAAATTAAACCCCTTTTTGCAAAAGGCTTCATTTTTAATATTTTAAGTTCAACTTTACAGAATAGTGAAGTAATCAGGGGTAAATTCGAATCTGATCAAAAAAAGACTATGAGCTCTCCTTGCCCATTACCCCGTAAAAATGTGCAGTAAGAGTATGATCAAAATGTTAAAACGTAAGGATGCAACCACACCCTTATGTTATTATTATCAACACTGTTGTTTATCCTGGCACTAATAAGCAATGAAAGGACAGCCCACCATAGCAGGACAGCTAAAGTTCCGAGATAAATGGGAACAGCAATACAAACAAGGGAAAGAAAATGCAGACGTACTGCGAACCAAACATCCAGATAACTAAAAATTCACAAAAAGGGTGTTTTCAGTAAAGTACAGTATTTTTGGGTCCTCCAACCCGTACCGATTAAGCAAAGCCACGGATCCCTCACCAAAGTTGTGTTGCAGAGTTAAACGAAAAAGGAAAAAAGAAAGAAGTAGGACTCTTTATCGCAGTGGTTTCCAAATAGAGTTCAGCAAACACTTTGGGCTCTGCAAAGGGACTTTCAGGGCCTGTGAAGCCCTTACTCGTTTGCCAAAACAAGCAATAAAATTTATATTCTTTTTCTTACACAGAAGAAAAATTATACTTTTGTGAAATTTTTTTTCTGCACAATAAAGCAAATTTATTTTCACACCAGATCTAACTGTTCATATAGCCTGTCACCATCGTTATCACCCAATAAACCCCTGTCCACCTCCTCGTGAATGGGAATTCCCGTCGCTTCCGCCACTCCACAAAGTGAGCCCGAAACGTCATTCATTGAGGAACACTGCTTTACATCCAACGAGAATATCCGAACACCCACAGATCGGTTCCCGCATTAGTTTGTCATATACCGCAACGATTTTTTCGGACGAATGATTGTTCTTGGAAACAAAGGAAGAAAACTTCACTGTCACAAGTGACGCCGAATCCGTGATGCCGACGTCGACGCACTTTCCTCGTTTCTTTTCTCCCACGTTTTGTTCAAGTCGGCAGCATTCTGCCACCTCTGTGCGCAATCGTAGGCGTGTGATGAGTTCCAGCACTTTACGCCGGATACGACGTAGGCTCGCAGCACTCACCTTCAGCTTCTTCTTGAGCTTGGTCATTATAAGCTGGTTCTCGATCTGCTCGTGGCACTTGAACTCGCAGAAAGTCCGGTGCAAGCTGTGCAGCAGCGACTCTAGGGCGCTGTAGTCGGAGAAGTCCGTGCAGATAAGCTATCAAGAAGAAAAGAGGAATGTTTGCCATGTGCCTCCCAAAAGAGCTCTGCCCTTTAAAATTTATCTGACATTCCGACATGTCCACATATGTAAAAATGTCCAAAATGGTGTTGCCTACATCAAAGGTGCACAACTCAAAAATGACGCGGGCCAAAAAAAATGTTTATTGGGAACTATGCAGGTTTTCAATATCTGGCAGACAGGTTTTTGATAGCTGGCATCATCGCACTGGTTGCTGTCTTGAACATATCTTGCAGTGTGATGTATGCGGGCCGCACAGAAAGTGCCCGCAAGCCGCATGCGTCCTGCGGGGCACATGTTGTGCACCCCTGATCTACTCAATCCCGGGCAAAAACTGCAGCGCTTCCTACATTGGCGAAATTGAATGCAAAAGAGACACTTAAATAAGAGTGCCCAAGTGTGACGTCTTTGATGCAATGCGTGCAGTCCGGCTCAAAACTTTAGCTGGTCGACCACACTTGAATAAGGGGCCACCCCTTCGACCTTACAACCGTAACTATGTTGGCAAGGAAGAAAAAGTGGGATCCCCGAAAGGCTGTTGGAACCCATGTTCATACCCAGGGATGCATGGGCTTTCAACGAAAACTGTGGCCCTCTCTCCGAATGGTAAACAGACATTTCCAATAAACAGCCTGGGGCTGAGAGAGACACTCACATTTGCCATGCACATGCTGATGATGTTTTTTTTTTTTATGTTTTGCCTAGTGAACATACTTGTTTTGGATATGACGTTTCCCAGCTTCTGGAGTATTGTTTGCATTCATTCTTACAGATGACCATTCTCCATGACTACAACACCCTGCTGAGCTGTATAGCTAATGTGACACAGTGTGTGATCTTTGGCCCTGATACGCTAATGAATCTTAAAAAAGTTTTCACTGGTTCATGAATTGCTTCATCCTTTTGCACCTTTCATGAGTTCTCTGCCTCTGCATACGTTGTTGTAAACAGCTTATCTCAGTGTTTTAGTAATCATTTGACTTTGTTGGCATTTGCCTTTCATGTTGCAATGGCAAGGATCTAAAAAGACGACTGTAAATGAAGAAAGCAGACCGATTTGTTAAGTGCTGAGTACTCCACAAGTTCTCACTCTTACCGAATAATTTTTTCAACTGTTGATATGTTGTGTGATAATTCTTTAAGTTTTAACTCCTTTGGACCTGCCAGTTTGTAGTGTTTAAAACCACTAAACGAATCTGCGGCGCCTTTATGTGCGACACCTGGCAACCAATAACCAGTGTTGGAAAGTACTTTAAGTACATTGTACTTAAAGCACTACTTCAAGTAGGCTCAGAAAACTTGTACTTTACTTGAAGAACATTATTTAAGTATGTACTTGTACTTTACTTAAAGTATCGTTTTCTGGTATTTTCCAAAGAAAATACAATTCCCGACTTCAAAGTACATTCCCCAAATTTGGTTTTGTTAAATTTGTATCACAAAATGATGCTTTGTCAACTTCAAAGAAATACTGGGAGAGATATTCTACTCTCACCAAAAATGTAAGCAGACTATGCATCGTTCCAATTGTTCTGAAGGCGGCTTTCCCATAGTTTTTCAACTCTCGCTACTTCTCGGTCGGTCAGCGCAAGAGAGGTTAAAATATTAGGAGAGCAAAATTAATCATAATGTAGCACCTGAGACTGTGGCGTGGAAAAATTAAACTTTCAAGTCGAAGAAAAAGACAACAGAGGAGAGCATCACAATGTTTTGAGAAATTCTCTTTTGTCTTTTCCATCGACTTGAAAGTTCCCTAATTTTTTTGCACCCCAACATCAGGTGTCACATTATGATTAATTATCACCAGCTCGCTCGCACACTCACTGTTTTTCTGTTTTTATTAAGGAGAGGACACTTTTTTATGAGAGGATTGCTTGCGGAAGCTACGGGGCTGACGTCATGCTCTCTCCTAGTTGATGTAACCCCCTTGGGTGCAACAATCCAGTGCAAGTGGTGCCAAATTCCAAAGGGGGACTTTTGAATTTGGTTCCATTCCTGAAGATAACTACTCTGTGGCCATATGACTTTATCCAGTATTTGCCGCAGTTTTTGAAAGTAGGTCTTGCACCCCTGATTACACCTGTGCAATGCATACCAGTTAAAAAATCACAGTATAGAGGAAAGAAATTACATCATGAAAGATTGTGTTAAAATACTTGCACTTTATTTTGAAAGGACATTGTATTTATAGTACTTTATTTCAAGTACATTGCACCCAGTGTACTTACTACTTTACTTGAAGTACATTACATCTTATTTACTTTGTACTTTACTTGAAGTACCTTTTAGATGTACTTTACCCAACACTGCCAATAACTGAATGAGTGGTGTGCATAGCCAATCCGTGCACATTAGGTTAAAGGCTGTGTTTAGAGTCCAATCCGACAGCACTCTTGCAGAGCATTGAAGTGCCGTCTGATGGCACTCCATTGCCTTCAAATGCTGTCCAAAACTGCTAAGCACAAGTTACGCATATTCTGAAATGTGTTCCATTAGTCACTCACTCTGAAATGTGTTCCATCAGTCACTCACCGACGCTTTAACATTGAGCGCGAGCTTGACAAACGCTACGGGAGCGACCAGCATGCTTTCTTATGTATGTTTATGCCTGTGCTGTGCAAGCACGCAATTCGACGAAGTGGCACTCTCTTAAAGGTTGCGATAGTGATTTAAAATAAATTTGTGATTAAATCTTACGTTCTTGTGTGGTGGCAACAGCCTCTACAAAACATTTTTAAATAAATCACAATTTTTTTTTCTTAGGCATGCTTGAACCTAAATATGTGAGGCCATAGACTACTAGCCAGGCAAGGACATCTTTATTCAATTTTCAGAAAGTATGTCTTTTGAAGAAAGCTTTTGTGGAATCTGAGTACACTCACAATTAGCAAATTTATCACACACAAAAAAGTACGTCGAAAGTAAGCATACTAATTTCGGCCACTAAGTGCCAAAAGCAAGAGATTCTTGACGAAAGGACGGCATTTGCTCGGTGGAGCACCGTCGAACGGCACTGTATACACTGCGTATGTTAAAAAAAACCCGCGCGCAAGAACCCAGTAACTGCTCTGAAAATACACAGTCTGCAGATTTTGGCACGGCGCCAAAACCAAGATGTCACAAGCGAAATACCTCTTGGGTCAAACACGCTTGTCTGAAACCCCCGCACCGCATTTCTAAACCGACGCGACAAGGAAGTTTATCTGCGTCAACTGCGAAAGCGGGTGTGTCGGCGGTGTCGTCACGAAGTTCCCGTTAGGTCGGTCACACCGGCACCAAAGTAGCGGCATTTGTTGACAAAAACCCGATCTTCCAAGATAGCGAGCCGACACCGCTACGGGACGCCTATCACAGGCGGGCAGAAGAGATAACTGGCGACATTTTTCCAGTAATTCCGGTTGCAGCGGAACGCACGGGTCGTGGCCGACGAAATACCTTTTCGGAGTAGACCTCCACGAGTCTCTTCATCCTTGAATGCGGCACGGAAAAGACGTCGATCTCGTCCGGGAACGGCGCCATTTTGAAACGATCAGACTGGAGCAGACGAGGTTGTTAGGTTGTCTGCGAAAGAGGCAACAAGACAACGGTGGCAAAGCAGATATCGCGGGCCGTCGAAGGGAATTAGAGAGCGGATTTTCCGGAAAGCCAGGAGTAGAGGCAGACTTACGACGGTAGAGGCAATCCCTAAAATGTCGAAACGCAGCTGTGCCAGAGAAGAAACTCCATCACACGGGGAGAGAAACAAAGTTTAGTGCCGCCAAAGGCCGCCCGATGACGACACCGTCGATGCCGTCGCCATGGCAACCGACTGCGGGCAGTTTCTGTTTCGAATTCGCCAGAGCGGGTAAGCCTTGGTTTGGCATCTCTCCGTTCCTTTTTAAGTTTTGCGAAACGTTAATCTCGCGGCGTAGACCATGAATGTCCTTAATTTTTCCGCGAGTATTTATAATGTCGCCGCATCGATGCATCAATTCTGAATTACCACTTGAAACAGTTACTGTCTTCGGAAATGAATCCTTGCGCACCTCGCATTTTGCTTTCATCCGACGGAAGAAATTATGTGTGAGGTTTTCTTACGCAACCTTTAATGCTTTCCAGAACCCACTACGAATACTACTTTATCCTCAACGTGTCCAACAAGACCAAGGGCTCAAACTTCAAACCCCCAAAAATGGTAGGACGATTTTGGTTTTCTGTTTTATATTCGATCTTTTCTAATAGCTTCGTGGTTGTTCAAGTGCGAAATCTTCGTAAATATTATTTTACATATTTAACAGGAAGTTGTAGTTATTATCACTCAAAAAAAGTAAAACGCGCGCGTTGAAAGCATCGGCTTGTATCTTGCTTGGCGTGTGCATGTCTTTGTGTGTTTTCTTAATAATGTATTATAGTTAATAATAATAATAATAATAATAATAATAATGTCTAATAATAGGCTTAGTTTGCATCAATTACGGTGCTAAATAAAAAATATACAAAATAAATAACAGCTCCTTCATTTAATGTCATATAACACCAGCGCTCATGGGCAATAACAAGCACAGATTCTACCCACCCCTAGCAGAGATGCACAAAAAGGAGTCTAAAAAGCCAGTATAAACACTAAAATAAAAAGCACAGTAAGATCTCCGTTACGTCGGCGAAAAGCCGCTACCTCGCGCCCGCATGAATCGTGAATCGCCAAGCCGAAACGCTAGACTCATAAACTTCACGAACAAAAGTTAGCAGCTGTGGCGGCGGTAGCAGGACCACGTGGTCGGTTAAGCGGAACAGAAACGGCCTGTAGCAGCAGTTGACTACAGTTGTGCTATATATTATTATTATCTGTTACCCAATTCCATTTCAGCACAACTTGGCAAGGAGCGGAGGCAACGGCCGCTGTGGACCAATCAGAGCATCGGACTGAGGCACGTGACAACGTGCCGTCGGAGTCGGTACATTGTCACGCGATCCGCTCCGTCGCTCTGGTTGGTTCAAGAAGGGCCCGTTGCGTTTCTCCATTTGCCCCTTTATGGTGAAACAGAGTTTCGGGTGTTACTTCATTCTCGACATCGGACCATCTGTGGCGGTGCAGCACGGTCGTAGTTTGTGCGCACACTTCGTACGTGTTTATTCTTCATTAGTAACTTCCTTTTTTTTTTTTCTTTTTTTCAGCTTATTCGTCTAATTTTTGCGCTAACGCAGTGTTATAACTAAGGGGGAGTTATCTGAAGTATAGTGATGCGCGACTAACATAGTTGATTGATTGATGGATCGACCTCTGAATTGATCGAATCATTCATATGTGCTCATTCGTTTCACTATGCACGCAATGACAGCCAACGCCTTTTCTTTCTTCGATATGGGGAAATCGATGGAGTCGTTGACTCCATACCAATTCTCACAAAAAAAAAAATAATAAAAAAAGTAGAAGAAAAAAAACGGGTAGGCTAACGCAAGTTTTAGGCGTGACAACGTCTACGAGCCGAGTAGTGCAATATAACGCATGTATCGAATGTAACATTTATATTTGTAAGTCACGGAATTAATGGAATGAAACACAAGTATCAAATTTGAACATATTTATTTGTTAGTCATAAAATCAATCGAACGAAGCAAATATTCAAGCACGAGCTAAACATTGGTTCCTTTTGTATCGTTTAAAGTTACACAAGGAACCGAATTACTGTAAGGTTACTTTCGTTTCTGTGCAGCGTTTTCTCACTTTGGTTGTAAACACTTTTGTTTGATTAATGCCTTTCGCTCTGGATCGTTTCATCACCGCGGCCTCACTGGACATCCGAGGCGTGTCACAAGATGGCGGCGCGGGTGACGTCATGTTACCGTCGGTGATAGTCTTGTTGGGTGCATATCTCTTGAAGGGATGGAAATATCTCAATGATTTTTTCGTCATCATGTATGGCTCAGGTACGGCTCTGATTTGACTTGATGAAGTCTATCTATGTTCGACATTTCGGCGATATTTATACGATGGGAACGGAGACAGAGGCTTCGACGGTCGAGTCTATGGGCTCTTGAGTTTCAACTTTCGCGTGAAATTAGTCTGCACGGCATTGTCACAACTTGTCAGCACCTATTGTGGAGTGTATGTCTATCCAACTTTGAAATGATACCACGAAAGAATCAGCCGAACGACACGTTTGCTAAAACTGTAGCACGATATCGGACGATTCATCGAAAGCGCCATTTCACACCGCGTCTCCGCGAGAAAGGAGTGAATGGACATGTTTCGAATGGGGTGAAACACCGAGTAAATGGGAGTAGCTACATAACGGCATGAAAGAAATTGCTTTCCGGTTTATAATCACAGAGCAGTAGTGAGATCTCTTTTCGTTGCACAATGTTCCCGTATATACAATACACCCCTTCGGGTGAGACGCTTTGTCACGTCAAAAGGTGGCATGTACTTTAGCATGAAACAAAACATGATAATCAGTTCCACTTACCACGCGCATATAGATTCCTGGTCCATCACAAAGACAGAATCATGCGTGGAATGGAGAGCCTGCTGGTAAAAGCAATAAAAATAAAGGAAGAATAAAAAAAGACAAGGAGGGACAGTCCGTCCTTCTGTGTTTTGTTCTTCCCTTTATTTGTAGTACAGAATCATAGTTACACAGATTCCTGTACGTCAAGGAGGTTACAAGTACTAGGAGGGGGCACGTTGCATTATGTGTGAAGCCTACTCATAAAAAGTTTAAACGACGTTGTGCCCAACGGGACCCCCAGATCTCTCTGGTAATTGGTGCGCGTGACATGTCACGTGCGAGATGGATGGTTCATTGTAGGAGGATTCCTTGCAGACTTGCGCGCGCTCCCTCCGGTAGGTTTTATCAGATCGAAGGCTAGACGTGAAGCAAGCAGCTCCGTCCGGTAGGTTACGTGCTGGGCCGATAAGTGAGGAGGGTAAGGAGGAAAATGAGAAAGAGGCGAGGCGTCAAGGGAGCTTGGTTTGTGGAGGCTACACGGCTGACGCCATGCCCTCTCCTACCCTTCTAATCTCTTTGCTGTACGTAGAGTCATCCATGTAGTTCTGCGTGGTCGCACTCGGTTTCCGAGCAATATTAGTTTCGATTAGGAAGTCGCGAACAGCTTGCAGTGCTCTATTTTGGACTGCCGGAGCCGGCCATAGTCCTAGCACTTTCCGACAGTGCCAACGGTCGATTCACCTAAAGAAGAAAACAGAAAAAGTGTTGCGCTATATGCGCCGCACAACGTAGTTCCTATAAAATCTGATTGTCAGAAACGAAAAAAAAATGGAAGCTCTTTGCGTTTAAAACGTGTACGTTTCGGTAAAAACAACGGGCTTTTGGTCACCAATGCTAGCTAAGGTACGGGGGACATTAGTAACGCTCCGCGCGGAGCCGGACTACTTTCACTAAGGCTTTTGGGGTGGGGACGGGTCAAACATTGTTTACCTGTCTGAGGCTTGTTCGCGCACAACACATGTTTGCGAACAAACTGTACTATGACTGAGTCGCCAAAACGATATATTTTGTGTGTATGTGTGTGTGGGGGGGAGGGGATAAAACTCGTTCTTTGTAGTTTGTAGCGTTAGTGGAGCATTGAGAGAAACGTCGGCTTTCTTTCTAAAGCTTTCCAGTACCGTTACCTTTGAGAAAAATGCTCTCAATGCGGGTGGCCTGTAATGACCGTGCCTGTTCTTTTTTTTTTTTCGGTGGAGATATTGTGGTACAGGTGTGTGTAAATTGTTCCTGGAGATTCTGACTACCGTATTTTCTAGACTATATAATCCCCACCCGATGCGTTCCGCAAGTAAAAAAAAAAAGGATAAAAAATATTATTATGCACACCGTACCTTGCAAGCTATATACCTGCTTTATTAAACACACACACACAAAACAAAGCTTGTGTTTTACAGAAATTATTTTTAATATAATCTGTCATGGTCTCGTCATAATGAGCGATGTAGATTGTCCGCTCCGCCTAAACTTTTGATCTTTAAACACGTTTGCAGTCAGGAAAATTAGGTACATGTAACAAGAGGTGGACAGAAATACGCTCAACGAATTGCTTTTTGTTTTGGGTTTAACTTGCAAAGTTATTTACGACCCACCGATCGGCAGCGACCTTCGGAAAGAATTAATACACCTCTGCTTCTAAGCTCACATGTTCGGATCGTATGCCGGTCGAGGCAAACTCAAGCACGCGCCATCCATGGGATGTTATCTGCTTTGAACTCTGAGGGGAACGAGTGCCCGGATGCGAAAGACCGGTTAGACATTATAGACGCTTTACAGCAACTGTGCATGGGCGCCGCCATAACTGACCTTCAGTTTTTGTTCCCTCTTATTCCGTTCGCTTCACTTCATCATTACCACAGCAGGACAGGTTATTGCCATTTTAGATGCTACTGTGTTCTTGTGCCCAGCATAGGCCCTTGTGAAGACCCGTCAACGCCCGCTTCAGTGGCTCGGCATCTCGGTAAGACAAGAGAAGGGCGGCTATGGCGGCTCAATCTGGCGCGTGTGTAAAGCGTCTATACGTTTTTCCTCGTAATTTTGGAGGAATTCAGACATATACAAAAAAAATATCGCTAGTCGAATGTCTTAGCGCCGCTATAATAATAATAATTTTAAAAAAAGCTTATGAGCGTAAATTTTATCGTTAGAATTCAAGCGTCGCGCTTCTTACAAGTAGCGACAACCACCGTTGTGCGCCCTTTGTTTCCAGTATAGGGCCGCACGAGGTACGGGCACATTTCTTGAGACAAAAAAAAAAAAAAAGAAACA